ATTGTTTATTTATTTATTATAATTACTAATGATTTTACGAAAATTTATTAAGCTACTTTAAATGTAACTGTAATTCTGCACCAAAATTTTAAAGTAAATCTAACATTTTACATTCTATTTATTTGATAACGCCAAATTTTATAATATAATCCGTGATCGGAGTAGTCACTTTCTGTCACTTGCTGTTGCGTGGAGTAAATTACCGACTTTTTAGTATGTTTTAAATGACGACGGACGGGTAAAGAACCATGGTCTCAACTGTAGGAAATATCATAGGACACTATGGATAAAAATAGAGTTACTATAAGACAAATTTTGATTTATTGACTTTAAGAAGGCGTCTGATTGAGTCCAAAATAAACAACTGATCGAATACATACAAACATGCGACATATAGAAATTTAAAGGGGAGGATATAACAAATATATTAAGATAAAAGAAATCAATCAGTTTTAGTTGTTACCACCGGTGAAGAAACGATGACAACTATTAGACCAAAGTTTGTTTGTTACTAAGAGGCAAACACGATACTATAGCTTATTATTTATAGTGTACCATTTTGTGCGTCATAAAATATCATACGGAACAATAAAACAATATTGTCGTCAAAACAGTTAAAAAGATTTTAAACGCCTTTATTTAAAAATTTATATAATAATATCTAAATTGTCATAACAAGTGAGGCAGATAAAATAAAATTATAAGATCTATTTTTTTTCTAACTGTAAAACACAAAAAAAGTTTACTTAATTTTTTATACCTTGCATTTTGAAAACAGCTTCCAAGTGTGTTAGCTCAATAAATAACGACGCAATAATTAGCTGGCAAAATTTTGGCTATCGTATTTTTGAATACATAAAGTATTTTACTTACAGATTGTAACGAAGATATTTTGCCTACACACGGGGTATCAATACAAGGGGTAGAAAATTGGGGACTGAAACTATTGGGGGTGGAGATACGGCAAGTAAAATAATCGCTACTTATGCGAACGGCACTCATGGTTTGGTAGAAGAGCTGGGGTCGTGGATAAGTAAAAGATCAGGGGGTTGATTTGGGGCAACTACAAAAAATGAAATACAGGGGCCATTAATCTCTTGGGATAAACAAAATAAAATTATACAGGAAACACCTCAAGAATTTAATATAGGGCGCCACTTGAGGTGCCTAATTATGCCTATTATAACCACTAGTAGTAACTAGGGGAATAATTATAAAACATCAAAAAAATATCTTTTTCAAATAAAAATCAAAAAATGGTTAGTTAAAAAAAAATAAATAAAATGTTAAGAAAACAACATTTAACATTTATTTTTTTGTCACCACAAACAGTTACAACATGGAGAAATACAAGAATATAAAAAACTTACGTGTGTCATCAGCTTACAATCTCCAGGAGTTGGCGATACTATATAAAACTTAGAAATGTTATCGCATTACAATTTTTAAATGGTACAATTTCTAAATTTTATCGAAAGCAATTATTGTTCTAAAGAAATATCTGTCTTTACTTTGAAATTAAACAAACAATAAACAGTTACCTGGATTCACATATTTTCACTTAACGAAAAGAAAAAAAACTTTGAAAAAGCTAGGACGAAACTCTGAAACAGGGGGAAACCAATTCCATACTGGAACGAAGATCTGACGTAGACGGGGATGGATTAAGCAGGCAAACGACCAAAAAAAGCTGGTGAGACATCCTATATATGTCTTCAAAATTGTACCATGCTCTGGTACACCACACAAATTATTTTTTCTACTGCAACTTTCCACAAAAAGGGCCGAAACAGGATAAACACGGATTCGACGACGAATTCGGACCCATACCTGACACTACGAAGACCCATGTATGAATTAGATCCATACTTAACACTACGAAGGCCTAAATATGAATGACGAATTTAAAAATTCGTTCCTAACTTGAAAATAAAATAAACGCCGACATAACAAGAACATAACGAAAAAACGCAAAAGATTCCATTTGCGACGTATAAAAATTAAAAGAAATCGCCGAAGTAAATATCTTTAAAATAATAAACAACTCTCAAATGGTTTTATTACTTGGCAACGCTAAAATGATTGAAAACACCTTTGGGTATTTTAACTTGAAAGATACGAATAACAAACATGGAAAGAATTCTTCGTTTTATTTTTTAAACATATATAAGGCAATCTCCATATATCTCATATACGAGGGGATCTCAATATAAAATTCTACAAGATTATACTGTAAAAGAAAGAACCATCTTCTTCTTCTTGTAGCACCTATCCGTTTCGTATGTTGGCGACCATCATGGTAATCTGTATTTTGCAAACTGCTACTACTAAAAGATGTGTGGTTGTTGTATTGAACCACGTACCACATAGATTTTTCAGCCAGGAAATCCTTCCTCCCATACATTTCGCTGTTCCTCATGATGTGACTCAGATATTCGATTTTGGCTGTTTTTTACTGACTGTTTAACTTTAAAGATAGTGTCATTTATGTTAATCTAGGACTGTTTAATTACCTTTTCTAGAGCAAGGTTAAATAAAAGACACGATAGCTGCCTTATTACCGTGCCTTAGTCCATCTTTGCAATGGTAGAACATTGAAAAATCGTTATGGATTCTAAGCATGGTCGCTGCTCTTGTGAATACAAGTTCAGTTATTTCAATAAGATGAAGCGGTCTTTGAAATTCTACTATAGCCAGGTGAAGTTAAGATCTACTAACTAATTCGTATGCAGGTTTGAAATCCACGAATATATGATTGGTGTCAATGCCAAACTCTAGGACTTTTTTCACAATTTACTGCTTTAAAATCAACAATAATGCGGTAAAATATTCGATAATCATGATTCTTACTGCAAAATCCTTTACTGCTTCAAGGAGAATCAGTAGGGGATGCTGAAGCCGGAATTCGTATTACCGGAGAATGTATCAATAACATCAGATACGCGGATAACACGGTGATATTCGCTGACAGCAATGAAGCCCTCCAGAAGTTAATGATTACAATCACCGGAGTAAGTCAGAGATATGGACTTTCACTGAACATTAAGAAAACAAAATGTATTATCTCTAAGAAGGAACAGCTAATTAAAAGAATCAGTGTGAATGGTTAACCAATAGAAAAAGTAAAAATATACACCTCCCTTGGTACAAACTTTAATGAAAATTGGGACCATTTCCTAGAAATAAAATAATATAGGGTAAAGAAAGCAAGATCTGCATTTTAAAAATGACTAAGCTATTCAAATACCATGATTTATCAATAACCATAAAAATCAGGTTACAACGATGTTATATCTTTCATATATTGTTGTACGGAGTTGAGTCGTAGACTCTCACAGACGCTACTTGCAAGAAAATTAAGGCTTTTGAAATGTGGCTTTATCGTTGAATCCTAAAGATATCCTATAGATATCCTAAAATTATCCTAAGACTACGTTGCTAATCAGGACGTTTTATTAAGAATGCAAAACGGAAAAGAATTGTTAATCACAATAAAAATAGCCAAAATCGAATACCTCAGTCACATCATGAGGAATAGCGAAAGGTATGGAGGAAGGATTTCCTGGCTGACAGATCTACGTACGTGGTTTAACACAACAACCACACATCTTTTCGGAGTAGCAGTTTGCAAAATACAGATTATCATGATGGTCGCCAACATCCGAGATAGATAGGTACTACAAGAAGAAGATGGTTCTTTCTTTCACAGTAAAATCTGTAAGTAAAATACTTTATGTATTCAAAAATATGGCAGCCAAAATTTTGCCAGCTGATGTTTGCGTCGTTATTTATTAAGCTAAAACAGTTGGAAGTTTTCAAAATACAAGGTTTGAAAAATTAAGTAAACTGTTTTTTTGTGTTATAAAGTTAGAAAAAAAATAGTTCTTATAATTTTATTTCATCTGCCTCATTTATTATGACAATTTAGACATATTACTTTTAAATGAAGCGGTTTAAAATCTTTTTAATTGTTTTGACGAAAATATTGTTCTATTGTTCTGTATGATGTTTTATGACGCACAAAACGGTACACTACAAATAATAACCTATAATATCTAAGTCTAATTAGTAAGTAATAAGCCTCTTAGTAACAAACAGACTTCGGTCTAATAGTCGTCATCGTTTCTTTACCAATAAATCAAAATTTGTCTTGAAGTTAATCTATTTTTATCAGTAGTGGTTATGATATTTCGTATGTTGCTAAACGTTCATTAGTAATGAAGATACTGTGTAGTATCCTTTTGGTAGTCACCTTGTTTGTTTTCTGTCTTAATATATCGTTTTCGATATATCCTCCTCTTTTATTTGCTATATCGCTTGTTAGGATTCGATCAGTTGTTTATTTTGTACTCAACCAGAGGTCTTCTTGAAGTAAATAAATCAAATTTTTTTTTTGGAAATCTATTTTTATCCATAGTGTCCTAAGATATTTCCTACATACACAGTTAAAAAACACAGATATAATTCTGAATGACCAACTTGAGACAAACAGTTTTAGTCTCCTCAACCTATTTCATTAAAGACTATAAAGTCTAAACGCATGCCAAAAATAGATCACTTGAGAAAGGCAATCAGCCGAAAGAGCTGATTCTGAAAGATAAAATAAATAAATAATAAATGTTTGTGGAAGTTTTTGAAAACTAAGTTTTCAATGTTTTATTGTTACATTAAAAAAATTATCCAATCTGATTTAATCCGATTCGACTTTCAAAAGGTAAGATTTTGTTTATTTGGTTTAATATTATTCATATTTGCTTTGAATTTCAGTCATCGACAAAAATAGTTTTGCTTGTGAACTGGAGATAATTATTTGATAACATGATCTCATAACTAGCAACCAAACACTGTATATTTTTGGGACACCAACTACTTCCTCCTAGATAACCATTGTTTTACATCTTTACTTAGCTATCTTATTTCGTGCTTAAATTTTAAAGGTCCAATTGGACTTTTCGTATATAAATGTATATTTTAAGTTTATTGTAGTATTTATTTTATAGTCATCGAGACCTTAAGCCTGAAAACTTACTCTTAGACGAGAAAAACAATATAAAAATAGCTGATTTTGGAATGGCCTCTTTACAACCCATGGGTTCAATGTTAGAAACTAGTTGTGGTTCTCCCCATTATGCATGTCCAGAAGTTATTAGGGTAAGTTTATATACAATAGTATCTAGATATTAAAGAAATAAGTGACAAAACATTAAATTTATATGCAACACGTATTATAAATAAAACGAGCGGTTTTAATTTATATAAATATATTAATTTATAAATTTACAGCACGAAAATATCTTATTGACTAACTTAGCTGATATCGGAGCTACTTATATATACAAGTTATTATGTACTAGAATATTCTGGAATAGTCCACCTTTATCCTTTTTGTTGAAAGCGCATCGAAGACAGGCGATATTAAAGTGCCAACACTTAAATATTCTAGATTTACCCTTCTAAGAATTCTGACACGTACCACGAATTAGAGATGGGCTGTTTCGTTACAATATGTTATTTTAAATAAGCAGCAAAATCAAATAATACTACCTCTTGGTAGCGAAGAAGATACACCACTTAATCACTAATCACTAATCACTAAGAGTGACAATTCAGAGGTCGCGCGATCCAATTCGGTCTAGTATGGAACCAACTGTTTGTTAATATCTAGTACAGAAATCACATTAAACTATAATTTATTCTGGAATAATTTTACCAGGGAGAAAAATACGACGGCAGAAAGGCAGACGTCTGGTCTTGCGGAGTAATCTTATATGCTCTTCTTGTTGGTGCTTTACCATTCGACGATGATAATCTTCGACAATTGTTAGAAAAGGTTAAGAGAGGTGTCTTTCACATCCCTCATTTCGTTCCTCCTAACTGCCAAAGCTTACTTAGAGGTATGATCGAAGTAAATCCAGAAAAGCGGTTAACTGTAAGTATTAAGAAAATTGCATTTTACCTAGTAACTCTTGTTCTATTTAAATTTTATAAAATCTTATTTATTTACAAACCTTATGTAATTCATCGACAACAAAAATTGGTATTTGATATAAATGTGCGATATACTTGGAAGCTGAAGAGCTAGAGAAACAAGCACAGCGACTTATCTACCCGTAAATTCACTTAATACTATTTTAAGGAGTAATATAAATATATACAGAAAGAGAGAGAGAGAGAGAGAGAGAGAGAGAGAGAGAGACATATGTTATTTCTGTTCCTTGCTCGTATATAGAGGATTATAAAAATATAACAATAATTTGTTAATATTAAATATAGCATAAGAGAATTATTAGAATAAGCAATAAAATAAAAATAATAAATATTTAATAACTTGTTTTTTTAGTTATCGGAAATAAATAAACACCCGTGGGTAACGGCGGGTGGAAAGGGGGAACTGGAACTCGAACTGCCAATGATGGAGGTCGTTCAAACTCACGTACTACCGTCCATAGATGCAGTAGATCCAGACGTACTACAAGCCATCTGTAGCCTTGGCTGTTTTAAAGAGAAAGAGAAACTTATTCAGCATTTGTTAAGCCCTAGTCATAACACAGAGAAAGTTATTTATTTTTTATTATTGGAGAGGAAGAGAAGAAGACCTGCCTGTGAAGATGAGACTGATTCGGTATTGAGAGTAAGGACTACGGATGGACAAGATCCGCCTAAAAAGAGGATAGACACGTGTAGAGTGAATGGGCAAAATACGCTTCAGTTTGGACAGATTAGTGAAGGGTCACCGTTAACTCCAAGGAGGTCCCACTATAAGTGAGTAATTTGTTTCTATAAATAAAACAAATTTATTGATAATATGAAAAAATTTACTATAACTTTCTCCTAGAAGGCATCATGCTAGAAGAAGTCCATCGACGGGAAGTACCCATAGCAGTTTAAGTATTCATTCCCCTACAAGATCGCCTGGAGCTTCTAGTCCTGTAATGTTTAATAGTACCATCACCCCTACAAATACCCACTGTAAGTAAAATAAAATTAATTTTCTTAGTTAGTAGTTTACCAAGTATTGCAATATATACACTTATAACCTACCTGTCAAAACGATTTAAACTTTGTCAACCACATAAAAATACTGAAGAGCACAACAATACTTTTTATTTTCAAATTTATGTAAATTTCTGCATTCTATCTAACAATTTACTATTTCTAAAAATAATTTTTTTGTGTTATCTCACTATCTGCATGCTATATTCATTAATTATCAATTAGATTAGAATTATTCATTCAAAATATTAATCGCTTTGACTAGCCAGTGTTACTAAGCTAAAAAAATGTCTAAATAATATTAATAAATATTATAGTAGCTTTTCTTATTTTATTTATATTTCAACATGTATTTTTACAACGTCATTCATTTTTTGATAATTTGATTGAAAAAAATGACATTCATGATTTTGACAATTTTGTCTTTTAATTAATGATGCTTTTACTAATATTTCCATTAGTATTTTAATAAGTAACTAGCGGACCAACTCGACATCGAGTTTTTTAAATGAAATTTTTATTTTGCGAGAAAAATTAAGAGATCAATACAAACAATATAAGCAAGAATATACATAACATTCATCAAGAATAATGCAAGTTAAAAGTGTATTAAATATCACGAAATATTTCGTCGAAAACAATGTTTTTTGTTACAATGTCTCCATTTTCTGAAAATGTTTGCTTGGCACCGGGAGCTATGTAAACTTTTACTTTTTAATAAAAACGAAACCGGAAGTCAACCTCAAAACCGGAATGTAATTTTTAGTTCATCAAATATCGACATGGATATTATTTAGCAGTTAATTTTGCATGCTGATCACGAATCCGGTGTCAGATTTGCTCTACCTTGACGCTTTATGCGCGTTTCGGGTCACTTCCAGTGTCGGATCGTAACCGGAAGTACATATTTAGATTCGTCTCGACGAGACCTTCCGATCCATATATACATTGTGGGGTCTAAAACTTAAAGTAAATTTTAAGTTCCGGTCATTTCAAAACCGGAAGTGAATTTTTGTACCAAAAGTATATATTGACAATCTCATACGTAATACTAATAATATTCCGAAAAAATATTTTAATTATCTAATATGGTTTTTGAGTAAAGTGGTGGACAAGAAAAGGGCTTAGCGTTTTAGTATATAAGATACCAGAGAACACATCACCCAACAAGAAGCGAAAGCTTTGTTGTTCGTAGGACAGAAATTTTTTAGTGACAGTGACAGTTAAAGTACTTAGTATACTAAGAAAAGTAATAAAGAAGTCGTTCAAAACTGTAGCGTAGTAAAATTATAATTACACTGAGAAACGAAGTAATCATTAAAACTGATTTTTAAGTAGATCTGTTATATATGAATTGTATTTTTTCTGTAAAATTAATACAACACATATATCAATCAATTCTGTTCTGATAAATAAAAAGGTCTTGTTTTTTTTAACAAATAAAAAGGTAAGTACTAAAAAAATATATTAGTGCGTTAAAAAACTGATTGAATTAGAGAGTTAATTTCAAAATAAAGATGAAAATCAGTCGATTTCTACAACAAACAACACTTCCCAATACGTAATGTAGGGGAAAGAATGAGGTAGCTGGTTCGATAAATTAAAAGTAAATAAGTATTTGAAAAATTATGATCTCACCTTCCTACATTTGGTAGATAAAAAATAAATTAAACCTCGAAGGACCAGCGACCCATAGGTCACAAACTTGCGGATATGTAATTATGTAGTAAGTAGTAAAATAGAAAATGAAATAATTAAAATAAGAGTAAAGCTACAGTATCGTGTCGACAGCCGTAAAAGTCGGTCGTTTTTGAAGTGCTTTCGGTGCGAGTTTTTGGTCCATAATTTGGTATTCCAAAATATCTAATTATGGAAGAAGATGCTATTACAGGGAATAGACCGCCCGATGAATTACATTCTGATAACACTTCTGAAAAAACTAATATGGATGATAACAGGTCTGTAAATACTTTAATTAATTTTGAAAACCGGTATAAACCCAGCGATAAGGCTCCATTCTTTGTTTATATTGAACACAAAAATAAAAATTTCGGTAGGTTATTTCCAATGAAGGTAGGACATTTTCTATTAAATGATTCGTTTATTAAAAATGATGTACTTAATATAAAAACAGTTGGCATTAATAGGGTAAAAGTCATTTTTTAAACTTATTCTATAGCAAATAAAATAATTAATCATAATTTAATAATTAAAAATGACCTTATAGCTTATATTCCAAAATTTTAAACACATAGAAAGAGCATAGTCCGTATGGTTGATACTTTCTTTTCGGAGAATTATTTAAAGGATGCGATAATATCTAAGAGACAAGTAGTAAATGTTCAAAGGATGCAACGGAAAATAACTAACAGCGATGGCACAACTCAATTAGTACCAAGACAAATGATAATTGTAGAATTCTTGGGCAACGAGGTTCCACAAAACATAATAATTAATTTATGCAAGTTTTCAGTAGATCCATACATACATCCGGTAGTGCAATGCTTTAAATGTCTCAGATACGGTCACTCCTCAAAACAATGTAAATTTAAAGACAGTAGATGTAAAAAATGTACAGACACTACCCATACTGTAGAAACTTGTAAGGAAAATAATCAGTGCATATATCGTAAAACCAACGATCACACCTCGTTGTCTAGAAAATGTCCAATATACGAGAAACAGAAGAAAATCAAAGCAATAATGGCATCAGAAAATATAACATTCAGAGAAGCAGAACAATTACATAACAATCCAAGCTATGCAAAAATAATAACTAATAATAAATTTTCTATTCTAAATAACACTTCCAATTTTCCCAGCTTACCTACCTCGTCTAACAATGTCCCTAATTTCACATTAAATAAACCTGTAAGGAAAAATTATCACACATCTACAACTAATAAGCGTAAAGCAACTTCTCCACCAATTTTACCCCATACCTCTGTCCCAACTTCTACCAAAAGACCTACTCCTAAATCTAATCCTATAATACCCAATCCCTACAGGGACGAATTTATTGATTACAAAGAGAAACTTATATTACTTGTCACATCTCATATTAATCAACTTATGTATACCAATAATCAATCTAAACCTATATGTAATTTAGAAAATGAATTAAGAAAACTAATTTCTAATAATTTAGAAGAAACAGGTAATAACACAGAAACGTATAATTTAGCGACGAGCCACAATGAAAGCATTGACTCGTATTATTAATTTCCACATGCACAGTCAACCTACTCAATCTTCCTTAAATATTTTACAATGGAATTGTAGATTGTTAGTAAGTAATAGAGATAATCTTATAAATTACATTAATAATTCTCATGTGGATATTATTATTTTATCCGAAACTTGGTTGAAAAACCAAATGGATTTCAAATTAAAAGGGTATAATTTTGTTTCAAAATGCCGTGAAAGTGGCTATGGCGGTGTAGGCATTTTCATACTAAAGGGCATTGATTATCAAATAATTAATATTAACTATAATTTTAATACCGGAATAGAAGTGTGTGCAGTCTTAATTGACAAAATTAATATCTCTTTTGTGTCTGTATATAAACCATCTGCCATCAGAGTAGAAAACGCTGATTGGATACATTTATTTGAACAATTCGATTATAATAAAACAGTTTTTTGTGGTGATTTTAATGCCCACCATTACATGTGGGGTCCAATCCCGGATGACCGTAATGGTAGAATATTAGTCGAAAGCATGGATTTTTTCGAATTAGTTTCTCTAAATGACGGAACACCTACTAGAATCGCAGCGAGTGGTAATCATTCTGCCGTTGATTTGACTATCACCTCAGCCTCATTAACAAATCGTATAAACTGGTCAGTATATACCGATACATTGGGATCCGATCATTTTCCTATTAAAATAGAGCTTAAAATTAATCCTTCTTCATTCCTAATTAATCCATCAACAAAATGGAACGATTGCCGCGCTGATTGGACGCTATTTCAGACAGATTTAGAAAAACAATTATCCACATTTTTATCATCTAATAATCTTTTTAACGATGAGAAGACAGCCCTACTCTTTCAGACTATCTCTCTAGCTGCTTCCAAATCTATGCCCATAAAAAAACCTTTTACTCCTTCAATGCCAAGGCCCTATTGGTGGGATGAGGAATGTACACTTATTATAAAAAAAACGATCAAAAGCCTTGAAAGCGTTTTGAACCCAAAGTTATCATAATAATTACATAAATTATAAAAATACAGCAGCGCAAACCAGACGATTATTTAAAACAAAGAAAAAAAGTAGTTGGAGAAATTTTTTAAATAGTCTAAACAAAAGCATACCTCTCTCAAAAATATGGTCAACCGTCAGATCAATTTCCAATAATTATCAGTACAACAAAAAACCTCAACTTTCTGAAAATCTCATTAAACCGATGTTAGACCAACTTGCACCTTCATCTGCCTCTGGTAATGTTGGTAGGATTAAAGAAGTTTTTCGCTTTAATACTAGTATAGATTCCATGTCAAAACCTTTTACTCCTTCAGAACTAGATTTCGCACTAAAAAAAGCAGAAATACAGCCCCCGGCTTGGACGGTTTTACTTATAAGATATTGGATAAATTGTCGTCAAATTCCAAAGATGTTCTCTTACAAATATTTAATAGTTGGTGGTTGAAACAAGAATATAGCGATACTTTAAAAAATATTATCATATGCCCTTTACTTAAATTTAACTTAAACCCAGAACTTCCTTCATCTTATAGACCCATTTCTTTATTATCATATGTGACAAAATCCTTTAAAAGGCTTATAAAATTTAGATTAGAACATTTTATTGAAAGCAGTTCAATTTTTCCCTACTCACAGTATGGATTTCGTAGAGGTCGAGGTACCATTGATGCTCTCGTACATTTAGTTACGGATATTCAACTCTGTTTCTCAAAAAACGAATTCATGTTATGTTTGTTTCTAGATTTAAAGGGTGCATATGACGTGGTTG